AATTGGACAGCAATTGCATTTAGGAGTCTCCCCTACCCTTTTCAAGCACCTCATTAGTTCAGTGACATTCACAGCACCTACTATGTGCCAAGCACTGTGCTGGGCATTGAGAAGCACAAAGATGAAAAAGGCATATCCATCCCTTCAAGTAACTTCCATTCTAGTGCGGAGAACAGACACCGAAACTAGTCATTTTAATATACTATGGTGAGTGATATGGGAGTTAAAAGAGTGATGGGAGCACAAAGAGACTTTCAGGGCCACATGGAAAGTCCAGGAAAGCTTTCGGGAAGCAGTGCCTGAGTGATCTTCAATGAGAAGTCAGAGCTAATCAAGTAATTGAAGGTAGAATGAGCATTCTTGGCCCTGGGGACAGATTGTCAAAGGCACAGAGGCATCAAAGAGCCGAGTTTATACCAGAACCACAAGCGCCTCACAGGCTACTGGCACAGGTTTTGAAAGTACCCACATAAAGCCATACTGTTTACCTGGCTTGTTTCCTATGTCTTTATCTGGAATAAAAGGACATTTCTATTTTAAAACAAATGAACCTCTAAAAATGTATATTTCCCTCAAATTCAAAATGGTCTCTGTTCAGCTCAGCTATAACCAATATCACAACCAAGGGCCCTTTCCTAAAGAGAGAGGTGAATGAAATGACCTCTTGCTTGATGCAAGGCTTCCCAACAACAGCTCTACTGATGTTAAAGGCTGGAGAATTCTTTGGGATCTGTCCTGAGCATTGTAAGATGTTTAATAGCAACCAAGCCTCTACCCTCTAGATGCCAGTAGCACTCTTCCAGTTGAGACAGCCAAAAAAGGTCACCGGACTTTGCCATATGTTCCCAAGTGGGAGGGAATTTGCCTCACTGAGAATCACCGATTTATTGCCATCTAGAACCACCTTTTCCTGCCTCTGTCTTCTCCAGGACTTAACGAAGTCATCACCATTTAGTGATGTCACCATGGACTCCAAAGGTACCAGATTGCTCCCACCATATCTCCATCAGTGATTTCACAGGAGAACCAACTAGCCTTCAGCCTTCAGCCTGGGCTGAAAATGTGGGTGGATGGTTCACTTGATTTTAGGCACAACAGAGGTGTACATTGTACAGTCTGCCACCAGAGGGACTTGTGAGGGATATAGATAGAATACATGAAGAGGTATTTTTAGAACTTAAGTGCGTTTTTCTTCATCATCCCAGTACTGTTACAAGATGTCCACATTTCTGGTCTTGGCTGTAGAGAGAGAATGTACCTAGGTTAATGAGATAAGAAGGCAGAGAGAAGAGGCAGCCCAAATCCCAAAAGATGAGATATCTGATGATTGGCTAACAAAAACTCCACCCCACTCTGGACAAGACAGGGAAGCATCACACAGAGATTTACCTACAAATTATCCGAAACTTTATATGCAAAACTTGATCATCAGCAATCACATCTGGATCATCAACCAGCACATTCTTGTAAGAAACAATCCCCTGATTTCCTTGACTGAGCCTTTTGTGGCTGTGTCGCCATCACTGTTGATACTTGCTCTGGCCTGTAGTGTAGCCTGCATCCCAGAAGGAGATAGAAGAAAATAACCTGAAATCTTAAAACAGCTCTAGGTCTCCTTAACATCAAAGGATGTCTGAGCCAGTGAGTCAACAAGCTCGTAGAACAGGAAGGTGCTGTTTTGAGCTTTCT